ATTGCCTACTCTTATATCACATTCCAACTGCTAAGGGATCTTTTCCATGCATGGCAATGTGTACACGTAGCAATTTTTTTTTTGGTCCCATCTGAATGACTAGACAACTGTCCTTGTCAGGCCCCCCCTCCTGCCCCACTGACTAGGGGAAACCACGTCATCTGCTGGTAAACATGATGGAAAGAGAAATAAAATTAAATGGGATTTGACGTCCTACCTGTCTGCACCTATCGGGCTGATGGAAATGAAATGGGAGTTTATCGGCACCAGCGTAGTCATGAGAGAGAGAGAGAGGAGGGTGTGGGGGGGTAACATCCAGTCAATACAAACTAGGTCATTTTGGGACTAACATATAGTTCAATTTTATTTCAATAATTCGCTTGCACGTGGAGAAAACCCCATTCTTTCTCTCCCCCTTTGAATCAGAGTCTTTATTTTTATGGGGGGTTGTATGGTCGAAAGGTTAGCACGTGCACGCTGTATCATAAGACCTGTCATTGAGTCAACTGGCGTGGTTTCGAATCCGCGGTTGTAGGTGACAAGGAGTAGGGTCGCCTGTCCAACCTCGTGGGTTTTCTCCGGGTCCTCCGGTTTCCTCAAACTGCTAAAGACCCCTACGCGCAAGCGATTTATTGAAATAAAATTAAACCATATGTTAGTCCCGAAATGACCTAGTTTGTGTCGAGTGGACGTTAAACCCCATTTTTATACGCCCACATTGAAATGTGGTCGTATATTGTCGTCACCCCCGTCCGTCCGTCCGTCCGTCCGGCGTCCACAATTGATTGTGGACACTCTAGAAGCTACAGTTAATATCCAATTGACTTTAAATTTATACACAGTGTTTATGGTCATGAGATGAAGAAGCCTATTGATTTTCAGCGATTTCTGATAATTACTGCCAGAGTTATGGCCCTTGATCTCTTCAAAAAATCTTGTGGATGCTCTAGAGGCCAAAGTTAATATCCGATTGAGTTTAAATTTATACACAGTGTTTAAGGTCATGAGACGAAGAAGCCTATTGATTTTCAGCGATTTCTGATAATTACTGCCAGAGTTATGACCCTTGATCTCTTCAAAATATCTTGTGGACGTTCTAGAGGCCAAAGTTAATATCCAATTGACTTTAAATTTATACATTGTGTTTAAGGTCATGAGACGAAGAAGCCTATTGATTTTCAGTGATTTCTGATAATTACTGTCAGAGTTATGGCCCTTGATCACTTTTAAAAACCTTGTGACCCTCTAGAAGCTAAAGTTATCATCAGATTCATACAAATTCTAATGGTTTTCTGATAATTACTTAATGAGTTGTTTTTCTTAATCAGATTTTAATGTATTATAAATGTTTCATTACCGAAAAAAGTAAAAAATATGTGACAACTCTTGTTGACTGCCCGGACGAGTTAGCTGCTGTGGGCGTATGTTTCGTTGCCTGGCAACCTATCTTTCTCTCTCTCTTTATTTTTATGTATTGGCCTAATCCATCTTGTATATATGTGAGATCATATTAAATGTAAACATAAGATGCGATATATACTATTATTACATGGTTGAATAATATCTTATGGTTCAAATATTATTTATATTCTAGATCAGAATAATGACGCCCTCATCAAGTTTCTGATCATCAGTTGAATCACTTGTAAACAATCATACAGTGAAAGTTGTGTCTGGCCGAATGGTTAACGTGTGTGCGTTGTATCATAAGGTCTGTCATTGAGTCAACTGGCGTGGTTTCGATTCCCTGTTTGTACTTAGGGTTTTTTCCAGGTCCTCCGGTTTCCTCCCACTGCTAAAGACCCATTAGCGCATTAACCCAGTCAACAGGCCTGGCAATAACGATTTTAGAGGTACCTGATGCACTAATGAAATAGTACCTGACATTTTCCACTTAGTGCTGGACATGTATTTAGTGCCTGACAAAGCCTGAATCTGTGACTGACATTGTCTGTGACAGGTGCCATATTTCAAGGATTGCCTGTGGGTGCAGAAAAGTAGGCCGTTAAACCCCATCTCTCTTTCTCTCTCTCTCTCTCTCTCTCTCTCTCTCTAAATAAAATATCAGTCAATTTCCTTTAGTATTTACAAAGATATGATGAATTAAAAATGTGTCATAATGAAAGTTAAAATAGGAGATGCAATTGTAAAATACTTTTATTCTAAAGAAGATAACCGATGTTAGACATTATAACCTAATCGTATCAAAAACGTTAATCCATCCATCAATTAAATGTTGTTTAAACGCCAATCAACAAACAATACGAGGCTACTTGATTACAAAAACACCGGTGAGCAATAATTATTGGGTATAGCGTAAAAAAAGATAATTACCTAATCAACATTCTTAATCCCACTAACACTCACTGCTTACACCAACTTGAAATTAATTTATGACCCATGCCTGTATAACTTTTATAGTCAGATTGATTAATTAATGACAAATATTAACGACACTACACTTTATGTGGAAAAGCGAAGTGCTCGGAGTAAAAACCACATAACTGGACCCGTATATTTTTTACATATTAAAAGTGTTCGTCCAATAAGTTCCATATTGTAAAAAATTAATTAAGAGTTCAGGACTTCAAAGTTTAAAAGTTGTAGGCACTCTAAATTGGATCTTAAATTAAAATGAATTACAAAACAAATTATTCCGTAGTCAATTGTTTTATTTAATTAGGGGGATTAAGGAATCCTTCAGGCGTTAAAGAATACACACGCCGTCTGTATATAGGTAATTAAGGAATAAACATTCCGAATATGCATTTGGTCACTGTGACGTCACTGGCGTCTGAGGGGATTAAGCGTGTTTTCGATAATTGGCAAAGCCGTTTTTACAGAAGGTCTATTTTTACGACTTTGAATGAAGATAACTGAATTAATTTCAACCAGATTGGCGTGAACTTGCCGTAAAGTGGATATAGTAACCATTGGCTACACGTATCTCAAATCTTCCGGGACCATCTTATGTGCACTTTAATTATTTAGACATTTATTCATATGACAAGCCTATATTCAACTCTCTGACCATAGGATGGTGAAGATTTAAACAGATTGAAACACGATCGGCATTTCATTTAGTCTTGATTAACAAGTACCGTTGCTACGATCATAAACAATCCATGCCACATCTTGTCAAAACTTCAAACAGTGATAACTTCGCTCAGAATATAGTAATTTGAATGAAATTTTCAAAAGATTTGTTTTACAGTATCTATTTTTGAACTATTATAGCAAGAATTGTCAAATCTTTATCTAAATCTTACATAATGTATCTATCATAATTTCTTACCTGAGTGAGACATTATTCAGTAGATTAGGGTTTTAACAGTGGCCATTTATTAACTGTAATTTGAATAGTATGAAGGAGGGTGTACTTTGACTGGGAAAAAAAACCCTTGCAATAAATATCCAACTTCTTTATAACACAGATGATGTTCAAGTTTAAGGTCACTTCAGTTCTATTCTCCAGTAATTTTAACTCTCAAGACGTGAGTAGAAAACTTGACATATTGTTTGTGTCAACAATTTGTATCCATTGTGTGGTTTGGAAATTGATGTGTAGGTGTTTATTGAGAATTAATAACTTCTTTTTGTGAACTGACTAAAAGGACTAGAATGTTTAGTGGGTTATCTACTGTGAGGAAAAACTGACAGTTTTGGAGATCTTCATTATTTTAGAGATTTTATGGATTTTTCTACTTTCATTTTGCTTTGTTACTGATAGTATTTTTTTTCTGAGGAGGTAGAGAATTGCGTAATTTTAGTTTCAAACCTTTAACCACGACTAGTAGAAGTATTCGTTTCACTTTCAGTTCCTGATTTATCTGTCTGATTACTGAAATCAAACATCAAATTGATATTTAAATACTGTATTATAAATACATGTATGCACATTGAAAAACATTCGAGTGGAAGACAAATTATCATTTTATGAAGTATAACAACCAGACCTATATGTAGACCTAGATGTTTTTACCTGATACGAGCACAGGTGTCATTTATTAATTGGATATTATTTAATTTTTAAAATAACATTTTTCATACTGGTACGGAATAGGATAAAAGTGTTGATAAGTTAAAGGATTTGTTTCTATGGAAATTAAATCAGCGGTTGAAACATCATTCCTCAATCAAGACCAAGGGTAAAGAGTTGCATGCCTCAATGGTCATCGAATTAGATGAAAAACATGACCTAGTGAAAGTGATATTTAGCAGAACTTTACTTTTATTTAAAGTGACATATCCTAATAAGTTCTCTACTTTCATTTTGATTTAATGTGCTTAATTACACCTGGATAATTTTGTTGTATAAGCAGATGTAGAATTCATTGTTTTTGGTGTTCATTAGATTTTAAAGGCAATCTTTATTTTAGATGTCAGAAGTACAAAAGAATGTGCCAATTTATGCACAGAGATTTTTATTGTTCATCGGAAATAGAATTGTTTCTTCGTTCATGAATATTTCCTGTGTTCACTTAATGTTGTCGAATCTCTATTAATGAGTTCTGTGAATATTTCATACGTCATCAGCAAAGTCATCTTGAAGTGGATAATCTTTAACGAGATTAAAAAAGTTCAACTAGAACCATGCTGGATAACTGCATGTCAAAAAAGAGACAAAACAAACAATACAGTTGGACAGCAGAGACTGGACAATTACAGTTAGTTACGAATTCCTGGAGGAGTTATGTTTTAATGAAAATATCCATAGTTTAGAAAGTTTTGTTAGAAATGTGAGACATCAAACACCGGTTAATATGTTTTGATTATCATTCGTTTCCAACATAACTAGGAAATAAATCAAAATTTGAATTTTATGAAACAACCTATATTTTGACGCTGTGAATGAGAATTTTAAACTTCAAAGTTATAACATTTTGACGCTGTGAATGATAATTTTAAACTTCAAAGTTATAACATTTTGACGCTGTGAATGAGAATTTAAACTTCAGTTATAATTTTTAATTGTGTACAGTGTCTTCATCCTTGAAAGATTTGATACAGTTGAACAATTAATTTTTTGAAATAATCGAATCAGGAAATATTGATAATATTGATATGGTTGAATGATTGATTTTTTGGAATAATCAAATCCGATTTTTGATTGTTTTAAGCTGGTCGTTAAACTTAACTCTTAAACCTTGTCTTCGGGTTGAGAGAGGGCTAGGCCTACTAGCCTAAACAGGACAGAATATTTAAAACATCTTTGGATAGTTGCGATTCATTCTTGTGGGAGGATTAGTTTATATAACAATGTCGTCAAGTTTGGAACCCGATTAATCAGAAAAATATGGCATTTTGTGATTTTTGTTTCCATTACCGACAAAATGGATTTAAATGTGAGAGGATTTATCATTGAATGTTTTGTAGAGGTTCATCAACTTCTGACATAATTTTATAGTTGTCCAACCATTGAGGTTTGAACATTTGTCAAAAGTCGCTAAACTTGACATTTGGCATTGGAAAATGTGAACTGAAATGTCTTTTTGTGGTAAAAAAACAAAGTCCGAGCGAAGACGAACCCAGAGTGAAAGATCTCTACATAGATACAGTACTTATGAATTGTCGCAAACTCATGATAGTCTCTTCCACTGCCCTTGTAATGTATTACAGCCCATGGTTCCATTCACGAATGACCGTGTGAACAATGTTTGCGGACATATCGACACATGTAACTGTGATTCAGTTGCTTCGTTGGTTCCCATGACGTTACATTTATCCATGAAAAAAGAAATCGATGGGGATATTTATCGTTTAACGGTTATTAAAGATAAGTGTAATAATGATCAGGTAAGGCTAACACATTTTGTTGTATCGATTGGGGATTGGCTGGTCTGGCGGTTTAATGTGTACGCATTGTATCATAAGGTCTGTCATTGAGTCAAGTGGCGTGGTTTCAATTGTATCTACGTCATTATATGGGGAGGTTGGGTGGTCTAGTGGTTTAATACGTGCGTGTTGTGCCATAAAGTCTTTCATTGAGTCAAGTGGCATGGTTTCAATTCCCTGCTTTATGGTGACAAGGAGTTGGGTCGCCTGTCCAACCTCGTGGGTTTTCTCCGGGTCCTCAAGTTTCCTCCCACTGCTAGAGACCCCTACGTGCAAGCGAATTATTGAAATGAAATTGAACCATATGTTAGTCCTGTTTGTATTTTTCCAGGTCCTCCGGTTTCCTCCCACTGCTAAAAACCCATAAGCGCATTAACCCAGTCGGCAGGCCTGGAAATAACGATTTTAGAGGTACCTGATGCACTAATGAAATAGTACCTGACATTTTCAACTTAATGCCGGACATGTATTAATAATATCAATAAAAAAGACAAATCAGTGCCGGACTAAATTGACAGGCACCAGAGGTTTAGTGCCTGACAAAGCCTGAATCTGTGACTGACATTGTCTGTGACAGGTGCCTTATTTCCAGGCTTGCCGGTCGGTGCAGAAAAGTAGGCCGTTAAACCCCATCTCTCTTTCTCTCTCTCCCTCTCTCTCTCTCTCTCTCTCTCTCTCTCTCTCCCTCTCTCTCTCTCTCTCTCTCTAAAAGAAATATCAGTCAATGTCCTTTAGTATTTACAAAGATATGATGAATTAAAAATGTGTCAACATTTAGGATCCAGCGCCATATATAATTTTCACTTAAATTTTCTTTTTAATCTGATTGAATCCAAACTAGGAGATTATTTACAGTGGGGATCACGTGACTAAGTGGGTAAGACGCTGGCTCGCTAGCCTGGAGGTCGGGTGTTCTATCCCTGCATTTGCCGAGAAAGTTCATCCAGATTTTATGGCGTGGTTCCACCTTGTCAGTGATGCAGGACGGAGGGCCTGACAAGGACAGCTGTCTAATCATTCGGATGGGATGAAAAACTGAGGTCCCGTGTACACATTGGCGTGCACGTAAAAGATCCCTTGGCAGTTGGAATTCGATATAAGAGTAGGCCATAGCGCCGCTGCCCGGGCAAAATTTACCTCATAGCACACTGTATGTTGATGCCCGTCTTCATTAGCCCAGGTTAGGAGCAGAACAGTAGGACGTTAAACCCCATTTCATTTCATTTCATTTATTTACTGTCTGATAAATATACAAATAACGGTCAGCCCCCCCACCCCGCCCCCGACTATAATTTGAGAGTCCCCCCTTATATGAATTTCATTCTGACTTTGTAAAATATTTCTCTTCATAAATTGGCTTAATCTGCCAGTTGCCGGTCTTTTTTATTTTGGCCCTCAAATGTTATATAAACTGATAATTATTTAGACATTTATTCATATGACAAACCTATATTCAACCCTCTAGACCATAGGATGGTGAAGATTTAAACAGATTGAAACACGATCGGCATTTAGTCTTGATTAACAAGTATCATTGCTACGGTCATAAACAATCCATGTCACATCTTGTCAGAACTTCAGACAGTGATAACTTCGATCAGAATAGAGTAATTTGAATGAAATTTCAATGTTGTCATTTGGCATTATCTATTTTTGAACTATTATAGCAAGAATTGTCAAATCTTTATCTTAATCTTACATAATGTATCTATCATAATTTCTTACCTGAGTGAGACATTATTCAGTAGATTAGGGTTTTAACAGTGGCCATGTATTAACCTATAATTTGAATAGTATGAAGGAGGGTGTACTTTGACTGGGAAAAACCCCCTTGCAATAAATATGCAACTTCTTTATAACACAGATGATGTTCAAGTTTAAGGTCACTTCAGTTCAGATCTATTCTCTAGTAATCTTCACTCTCAAGACGTGACTAGAAAACTTGACATATTGTTTGTGTCAACAATGTGTGTCCATTGTGTGGTTTGGAAATTGATGTGTGTAGGTGTTTATTGAGAATTAATAACTTCTTTTTGTGAACTGACTAAAAGGACTACTTTAATTTTGCTTAGTTACTGATAGTATTTTTTTTCTGAGAAGGTAGAGAATTGCGTAATTTTAGTTTCAAACCTTTAACCACGACTAGTAGAAGTATTCGTTTCACTTTCAGTTCCTGATTTACCTGTCTGATTACTGAAATCAAACATCAAGTTTTTCGATCATAATTGTGGATTCGTCTGAAATATTTTGTGGTGTGCCGAATTGATATTTAAATACTGTATTATAAATACATGTATGCACATTGAAAAACATTCGAGTGAAAGACAAATTGTCATTTTATGAAGTATAACAACCACACCTATATGTAGACCTAGATGTTTTTACCTGATACGAGCACACGTGTCATTTATTAATTGGATTTTATTTAATTTTTAAAATAACATTTTTCATACTGGTACGGAATAGGATAAAAGTGTTGATAAGTTAAATGTTTTGTTTCTATGGAAATTAAATCAGCGGTTGAAACATCATTCCTCAATCAAGACCAAGGGTAAAGAGTTGCATGCCTCAATGGTCATCGAATTAGATGAAAAACATGACCTAGTGAAAGTGATATTTAGCAGAACTTTACTTTTATTTAAAGTGATATATCCTAATAAGCGGACGTAAAATACAACTAACTCATCATCAATAAGTTCTCTACTTTCATTTTGATTTAATGTGCTAAATTACACCTGAATAATTTGTTGTTTAAGCAGATGTAGAATTCATTGCTTTTGGTGTTCATTAGATTTTAAAGACGATCTTTATTTTAGATGTCAGAAGTACAAAATAATGTGCCAATTTATACACAGAGATTTTTTATTATTCATCGGAAATAGAATTGTTTCTTCGTTCATGAATATTTCCTGTGTTCACTTAATGTTGTCGAATCTCTATTAATGAGTTCTGTGAATATTTCATACGTCATCAACAAAGTCATCTTGAAGTAGATAATCTTTAACGAGATTAAAAAAGTTCAACTAGAACCATGCTGGATAACTGCATGTCAAAAAAGAGACAAAACAAACAATACAGTTGGACAGCAGAGACTGGACAATTACAGTTAGTTACAAATTCCTGGAGGAGTTATAATGTTTTAATGAAAATATTCATAGTTTAGAAAGTTTTGTTAGAAATGTGAGACATCAAACACCGGTTAATATGTTTTGATTATCATTCGTTTCCAACATAACTAGGAAATAAATCAAAATTTGAATTTTATGAAACAACCTATATTTTGACGCTGTGAATGAGAATTTTTAAACTTCAAAGTTATAACATTTTGACGCTGTGAATGATAATTTTAAACTACAAAGTTATAACATTTTGACGCTGTGATTGAGAAGTTTAAACTTCAAAGTTATAACATTTTGACGCTGTGAATGAGAATTTTTAAACTTCAAAGTTATAACATTTTGACGCTGTGATTGAGAAGTTTAAACTTCAAAGTTATAACATTTTGACGCTGTGAATGAGAATTTAAACTTCGCAGTTATAATTTTTAATTGTGTACAGTGTCTTCATCCTTGAAAGATTTGATACAGTTGAACAGTTAATGTTTTGAAATAATCGAATCAGGAAATATTGATAATATTGATATGGTTGAATGATTGATTTTTTGGAATAATCAAATCCGATTTTTGATTGTTTTAAGCTGGTCGTTAAACTTAACTCTTAAACCTTGTCTTCGGGTTGAGAGAGGGCTAGGCCTACTAGCCTAAACAGGACAGAATATTTAAAACATCTTTGGATAGTTGCGATTCATTCTTATTTTTGTGATAGGATTAGTTTATATAACAATGTCGTCAAGTTTGGAACCCGGTTAATCAGAAAAATATGGCATTTTATGATTTATGTTTCCATTACCGACAAAATGGATTTAAATGTAAGAGGATTTAACTTTGAACTTTTTGTAGAGGTTCATCAACTTCTGACATAATTTTATAGTTGTCCAACCATTGAGGTTTGAACATTTGTCAAAAGTCGCTAAACTTGACATTTGGCATTGGAAAATGTGAACTGAAATTTCTTTTTGTGGTAAAAGCTCATAATCAATGAATATCACAACACTACCAATGTCTGGTCACGGGAAAAAAACAAAGTCCGAGCGAAGACGAACCCAGAGTGAAAGATCTCCACATAGATACAGTACTTATGAATTGTCGCAAACTCATGATAGTCTCTTCCACTGCCCTTGTAATGTATTACAGCCCGAAATAAACTATCCCATGGTACCATTCACGAATGACCGTGTGAACAATGTTTGCGGACATATTGACACATGTAACTGTGCTCCAGTTGCGTCGTTGGTTCCCATGACGTTACATTTATCCATGAAAAATGAAATCGATGGGGATATTTATCGTTTAACAGTTATTAAAGATAAGTGTAAATATGATCAGGTAAGGCTAACACCTTTTGTTGTATCGATGGGGGATTGGCTGGTCTGGGGGTTTAATGCATGCGCATTGTATCATAAGGTCTGTCATTGAGTCAAGTGGCGTGGTTTCAATTGTATCTACGTCATTATATGTGGAGGTTGGGTGGTCTAGTGGTTTAATACGTGCGTGTTGTGCCATAAAGTCTTTCATTGGGTCCTCCAGTTTCCTCCCACTGCTAGAGACCCCTACGTGCAAGCGAATTATTGAAATGAAATTGAACCATATGTTAGTCCTGAAATGACCTAGTTTGTGTCGAATGAAAGTTATACCTCTCTCTCTCTTTTGTGTGTTGTGTCCGTGAGTTTGTTTTGTTGATGTCTGTTTTTTTATCTGTGGTGCAGTTTAACTGCACTTTGTTATTTATAGGAAAGGAGTGGAGTGGTACATGTATTTAGGCCAAGTTGAATTATCCTTGAATATTTCTTTATAACCCATTAGTACAGTAACATGATGACTAACCTACTTCCTGCCGTTTAACATATCAATATGATCTAATGACCTTCATATTGTTTCCCATGGGGATTACACATACAGTCATATAACACTTGTGTATGGCTTTTCCTGTCGTTTAATAATAATATTATTAATTCCTACAAACCAACCACACCTTGTCTTATTATGGAAATGAAATGAAATGAAATGGGGTTTAACGTCCTACTGTTCTGCTCCTATGCTGGGCTAATGAAGACGGGCATACGCCATACAGTGTGCTATGAGGGAAATTTTGCCCGGGCAGCGGCACTATCGCCTACTCTTATATCGAATTCCAGCTGCGAAGGGATCTTTTACGTGCATTCCAATGTATACACGAGACCTCCTTTTTTCGTCTCACCCGACCTCCAGACTAGCGAGCCAGCGCATTACCCACTTAGCCACGTGATCCCCGTCTTATCATGGAGGAGCCACGTTGGCTAAGAAGTCAGACGCTCACTCACTAGCCTGGAGACCGCAGGTTCGCTCCCAGTGTTTGCTGAGAAAGTTCATTGTGATATTCCGTCCGACGTGGTTTCATCCTTGTCATTGGTGCAGGGCAGAGGGCCTGACAAGGACAGCTGTCTAGTCGTTCGGATGGGACAAAAAAAACCCTAAAAAACGAGGGCCCATGTACACATTGGAATGCACATAAAAGATCACTTGGCAGTTGAAATTCGACAGGCTGTGACATCGCTCTCCAGGCAAAAGTTCCCCTCATAGCACACTGTATGGCATATGCCCATCTTCATTAGCCTAGTCATGTTGCAGGGAAAGGGAGACAGGGAATGACAGGAGGTTATAGACAGGAGGTCAACAGAGATAACATTTCAGTTGTTTTGGTATACTCAAAAGTTTGGCCTTTTAAAGATGCATTATGTAAGATTTAGATAAAGAACTGGCCGTTCTTGCTATAACAGTTCAAAAATACATGATATTGAAAATTTCATTCAAATTACTTTATTTTGAGCCTGTTTGAAGTTTTGACAAGATGTGACATAGATTGTTTATTATCGTATCAACGTACTTGTTATTCAAGATTTAGCCTTCATCTGCCATTTCAAATTAAATCATTAAATGGTGACCATCTTTTTAATCTGTTTAAACCTCTGCCATCCGATGTTCTAGAGAGATGATCAGAGGTCGCATTGGATCAATTTTGAGTTGTGTTAAAATACCCAGACATTCCAAAATTTTGCGTTTTTGCCCTCTACATCTGCGTGACTTAGAGCCTCTTAATGTACTCAATAGAAGGAAGTAAAATCGTTATTTTAAAGGGACTATCCCGATTTGAACAGAGTCTTAAAAATAAAAGTCAAAATATAGAGGAATAGTGTGTTTACCTTGTCTCAAAAATTCAGCTCACAATATTTAGTCGTTTGGACCAGAACGTCATAAATGCTTATCCGGACACATAACCCTTTTAAGATTTCTGGTTATTTTTTCATTGGGTGACCTGATAATCGATTCCCATTTCTTTAGAGGTCTATACAATGAATGACCCATATGCTGTACTTGATAACGAAAGGCAAATTTCACCTACACATTATTTTTATAGAGTAAAAGTCTGGTTTATCCATAAGCTGCATAATACAGCTTGGTACACCGGTCTCCATTTCCAGATGAAGACCAACAGGTTTAAGTTGTTTGAAAACGTATCACAAATATTGAGTTAGTTGCTTGGCCCTTTGGTAGAGGATTTTAAGGGATTTTAACACAAAATTAAGCAGTTTTATTCTCCAACATATTATCGGGATTGACCCTTTAAGCATCCTTATTTTATTGATACTGTATTTAGTCTAATGACGACTAGAAGTTGACAGCATATCTTTCTTCGATAGGAAGTAAAGAGCAAACTATTGATATGAAAGCCAATATTTGATTGGCTGAATATGCTTTATTTGTTCCAATGCGTCAAAATAGGGGGTGTCTTAGAATAGCTACGTATAGGGGTCTTTAGCAGTGGGAGGAAACCGGAGGACCAGGATTCAAGGATTCAATGACAGGCCTTATGATACAGCACGCACGAACCATTCGGTCATCTAACTACTGTTGATAAGAGTAAGGATGTTGTTTTGTTTATAGACCCCAATGTTTAGGTTATCATCTTTTGTTTTGACTGACAATCTTGACCTACACCGGATGTGTATCGAGGATGTTTAGGGTTTAGGGTTACTGACCAACCTAGTTACGTGACGGGTGGTAAGGTAAAGATTTCTTTCATATGAATTCAATATCTATTATATGCAAAAATCATCGAAAATCACCTCAAATCATGTCTCTCATTTGTACTTTTACAAATTTTCCAACCAAGATTTGAAATATGCAAGATTAAATGCAACCCAGGTTACAGTGTCATAACCCGACACCATGAACATATATTTAATACTGTCATTTGTATGAACTAACAGAAGTGTAACGGTAACCATCACAATACCAGTAAAAAATTGGTACCCTGGTCCCTCCTCCTTCAATACCAGTGACAAATGGTACCCTGGTCCCTCCCCCTTCAATACTAGTAACAAATGGTAACTTGGCCCCTCGTCCTTCAATACCAGTGACAAATTGTACCCTGACCCCTCCTCCTTCAATACCAGTAACAAGTGATACCACAGCCCCTCCTCCTTCAATACCAGTAACAAGTGATACCATGGCTCCTCCTGCTTCACTACCAGTAACAAGAGGTAACCATGGCTCCTCCTCCTTCAATACCAGTAACATTTGGTAACCATGACCCCTCCTCCTGCAATACCAGCAACACGTGGTAACCATGACTCCTCCTCTTTCAATACCAGTAACAAGTGGTACCCTGGCACCTCCTCCTTCAATACCAGTAACAAGTGATACCATGGCTCCTCCTGCTTCACTACCAGTAACATTTGATAAATATGACCCCTCCTCCTGCAATACCAATAACAAGTGGTACCCTGGCACCTCCTCCTTCACTACTAGTAACAAGTGGTAACCCTGGCACCTCCTCCTTCAATACCAGTAACAAGTCGTACCATAGGCCCCTTTCAAAACAAGTAACAAGTGGTAACCATGACTCCTCCTCCTTCAATACCAATAACAATAAGATATACTGATTAGTTTAATCTGTTGACTTGGTGGTTATTAAGACACTAATCTCTGAGAATTTGAAAGTTTTCATAGTTACACAATAAAAGATTATGTTGCCACTAGTGACTTACTCTTAATAATTAATTAAAATGATAGATAATTTTGAATTTATAAAGGCAATAGATAAGGGTAAGGAAGGGTTTAGTTAAACATGCACTATATTTGTAAAGTTAATACAGGAGATATTTTTTTTGAAACAAGTGTAGGAGATTGTCATAGGAGATTAGATAAAGAGCTGACAGTTCTCACTATTATAGTTAAAAACTAGATAATGTAAAGGGAATTTGCTGAATATTTCAGTCAAATTGGTCCTCTCTGAACCGAAAATTTAGCGATTGAATTTTCGTCCTAGCCTCGATCATCATAACTAAAGTCAGTATGATAAAAAACATAGTCTTGATTATTCATTCCATGATTAAATTATGAATTGAAGTCAAACAGCAAATCAGAACCTAAACCAATAAACATCGCAGGCTAGCCATGCCATCGAGAGTTGATTATTGTCTGGATAAGTTAATTAATGTCTAATTAATAATTTAGAAAACATTTCAGGTCTAAAGAAAGACCTGCAATAGGCAGATTAAGCTCTTGCATATTGTATGTCTGATTTTGAATTATCTATTTTTGAACTATTATATTACGAAGGACCAGCTATTTATTTAATTCTTACATAATTCATCTTTGATAATACAATTTATAATTTATAATATCAGTAATTATTTAGGAATAAAATATTAAATAGAAATAAAATCCCACAATCATTAGATTGACATGTTTGTTTATACGGTAGTACCAATCTTTTATGAGATTAATCAAGGCTCATCCTGCACATGCTCTCCCCCCCCCCCCCCATCTTTCCCCCATCTGGACTTCTGACTGAAAAAGTCCAATTATAATTCATTACTTTAGAACCAGATTTTTGTTTCAGATCACTGGAAATGGTATTTCCGGGCTTCTAGTTTTCAAAATTTTCCACTGTATGCCCTGTTGTGCGTTTCGCGCCTTTGGCACTCACAGTCCGTGTGCTCTGGATCCGCCCTTGTTGATATTGTTACTTGGCCTGGCGCCGGCACCCTAATATTGATTTATTTCAAGAATCTAAATTATTTGAAATTATTTCTATTTTCAGATCCAGTTTTCCCTCATAGCCCAGTCAGAGCAGAATAGTTCAGACGTTAAACCCCATATCATTTATAATTTCAGATATCATTGTTTTTAAATATTCCACTAGTTGAACAGGAAGGGGAAGAAATTAAATATATTATCCTCTCAGACACGCAACATCAAGTAGAGATAACAAGAGATGGACGAAGAAGAAAAGTTATTTTTGAGTTGGAAGATTTGAAGCTAGCTGAGGAGTTTACGAGAAAATTGTCTAAATTATTAGATAAACTTGTAAAAGACGAGAAAATAACCAGTTTTAACCTTTGTTCAAATTCAATCAAATGTCAGGATGCTAACGGTAAGGACATTTTATTATATGACAAACAATTCTTAAAGATACATTATGGGAGATTCGATAACGAGTTGGCAGTTCTCACTATTATAGTTAAAAACTAGATAACGTAAAGGCAATTTGCTGAAAATTTCATTCAAATTGATCTACTATGAACCGAAAACTAAGCGAATGAAATTTCTGCCTAGCCTCGGTCATCATTAATAAAGTCATTACAATAAACAGCATAGCCTCGATTATCCATTTAATAGTTAATCGAGAAGGAAAGTTATGCAGTAAATCGACTCACAATCCACTTAAGATCACAGGCTAGCGATGCCATCTAGAGTTGATTATGGTCTGAATAAGTTAATTAATGTCTAATTAATACTTTAGATAACATTTCAGGCCTAAAGAAAGACCTGCAATAGACAGATTTAGCTCTTCCATAATGTATGTTTAATATGATTAATACAATGACATCATTATTAATGTGACGTCATAATGTATGTTTAATATGATTAATACAATAACGTCATTATTAATGTGACATCATAATGTATGTGTAATATGATTAATACAATGACGTCATTATTAATGTGACGTCATAATGTATGTTTAATATGATTAATACAATGACGTCATTATTAATGTGACGTCATAATGTATGTTTAATATGATTAATACAATGACGTCATTATTAATGTGACGTCATACTGTGTGTTTAATATGATTAATACAATGACGTCATTATTAATGTGACGTCATAATGTATGTTTAATATGATTAATACAATGACGTCATTATTAATGTGACGTCATAATGTATGTTTAATATGATTAATACAATGACGTCATTATTAATGTGACGTCATAATGTATGTTTAATATGATTAATACAATGACGTCATTATTAATGTGACGTCATAATGTATGTTTAATATGATTAATACAATGACGTCATTATTAATGTGACGTCATAATGTATGTTTAAGTCCCGAGATATGCTTTCCTCGTGGCCAGGTCTCACTATAAATAAATTTCAGATGATTTTTGCCTGTGCAAAGAGTAAATGAAATGAAATGGGGTTTAACATCCTACTGTTCTGCTCCTAACCTGGGCTAATGAAGACGGGCATACGCCATACAGTGTGCTATGAGGGAAATTTTGCCCGGACAGCGGCACTACGGCCTACTCTTATATCGAATTCCAACTGCCAAGGGATCTTTTACGTGCCGCCAATGAGTACACGGGACCTCGGTTTTTCGTCCCATCCGAACGACTAGACAGCTTTCCTTGTCAGGCCCTCCGTCCTGCATCACTGACAAGGGAGAACCACGCCGGAAAATCTGGATGAACTTTCTCGGCCAATGCAGGGATCGAACATCCGACCTCCAGGCTAGCGAGTAAGCTGTAGCAGTCATTGATTTTTAAGGCGAGCGATCGCTCTCAAGCGCCTGCTGCTCACCTGAATGTTGACCGAGGGGAGCTTTTTCTCCCTCTCTCTAAACTTGAAAATCACTCTGCTTTACAAAGTCATGGGGGGTTAATTATCATTTATGAAACCAGGAATGACCCCCCTGACATGCAGTTATTGATCTTCAGAACCATTTCCCATACACACAACTTATCACTCTTCTTATCGAAACTGGGGGAGCTTTTTTAGGGGAGCTATTTTTTCAATTTGTTGATTAAGGAGAGGTTTTTTTTGGCTCTCCTCTAAAATACAAACAACGACTGCTGTAGTGCCGCTGTCTAGGCAAGATTTCCCTTTCATTAGCCCAGTCGGAGCAGAATAGTAGGAAGTTAAACTCCATTTTATTTCATTTGGAATAGGAAGAAAGGATAGAGGTAAACATGACAGTCTGGGGCCCCGTCTTCATTAGCCCAGTCGGAGCAGAACAATAGGAAGTTAAACCCCATATTATTCATTTGCCTTACTGATGTGTTTTTTGGGAAGTTAAACCCCATTTTATTCATTTGCCTTACTGATGTGTTTTTTGGGAAGTTAAACCCCATTTTATTCATTTGCCTTACTGATGTGTTTTTTGGGAAGTTAAACCCCATTTTATTCATTTGCCTTACTGATGTGTTTTTTGGGAAGTTAAACCCCATTTTATTCATTTGCCTTACTGATGTGTTTTTTGGGAAGTTAAACCCCATTTTATTCATTTGCCTTACTGATGTGTTTTTTGGGAAGTTAAACCCCATTTTATTCATTTGCCTTACTGATGTGTTTTTTGGGTTGTTTTTTTTTAGGTTCTTTGAGGGAAATGAACAGGATGGATGCACCTCGTCCCTGTACCTTGAATAGAATGGCCGGCACTGGCGAGTCTGTCTCTTCATTAGCGCCAGACAGACCGTTCAACTTAAAACCGTTATCGTACGAACAGGTTCAAGAGATCAGTAAGGAATTAATGGCAGCTGTTAGTTTGGGTTGTACCGATAAAGCGAGCCAGTTAGCAGCAAGATTAGCAGCAGAAAAAATTAAAATAGATATTACGGTGGATGAGGATTCGGTAACCAAGGCAGTGGAGCAATTTTCGTAAGTCTATTTTGTTGAGAGACAGACATACAGACAGATAGACAGACAGACAGACAGACAGAGTCATTTCAATACTAACACATGGTTCAATTTCATTTGAATAACTCACTGGAATATAGGGGTGCAGTACAAGGAAACCGAATGACCCGGAGAGAACCCGTGAGGTTAGTCAGGCAGCACTAGATATCAGATGATAATAACACTTATGACATGCCTTATGATGAACTACAGGCATTAAGCCACTTGGTCCTTCAATAATTCCCACTCCATCCGAAAAGAGACAGAGAGAGAGAGTTCAATTTTATTTCAATAATTCATTGTGTGTACAGATCTTTAGCAGTGGGAGGAAACAGGGGGACCCGGAGAAAAACCCACAAGGTTAGACAGGCAACCCTACTCATTGTCACATATAAGCACATCTTCAATAGAAGGCTTGATCTCGCTTTAACTACGTACATCTTATCAAGGCCTTCACGTAATACCCTGCATATTTCGGCACTAATATCAGATTCCTCGATCGTCGCGAATACCAAGTCTCACGCTTTCAGGCTAAAATTCCTACTTGTGATAATCGAGTTGCAAAGTTCAAGGTTCATTCAATGTCAAGGTTTCCGTGTAGGTCGAGATGTCACAACCTCTGATTGGACGCTACTGCTCACGTGTCTGTAGATAACATAGCCAGGGCTGTCGGTAATTTTTCACAGATGATTAGCAGCACTGCTAATCAAAAAGTCCAATTTTGCCAAATTTGATTAGCAAATTTAAAAATTGATTAGCAGTTTTTCAGTTTCAAATCAACATAAAACACCTAAATAACAAGATTATTTTAATTTTAATTGATAGCAAATGATTAGATTTCATTCTTAAGATTTTTTTTGAATGTTAGCACTTCTACAGCTAGCTGTGAACATTTCTGAATGAATGTAGACTTTTGTTAGGCCTTATGTCTGGCTTCTTATTTCTTCGTTAGAAAACAATTTCGTCTGCTTTTTATCGTGTGTTATTATTTTTGTTCAATCGGAAGCACGCGGTATTTTACGAATAATCTCAATTAACTAGACGCACGCGATATAAACAATAATAGTTTACGGGAATTCTTACTTTAATTTCTCACTTTACAATACGTTTACACGTATTTATTTTTTATATTTTATTTACAATACGTGGGGGATACACTGAATTTATTTTTTTTCAAATTGAATACTGATATAATTACTCGAAATTGACATGTCTCGCAACGTGAGTGGTACTACTTGATTCCCTATTTCCGGTTTAATAGTCCCGATTCATAGAGTTATGTCCCTGTATTATATAGTATCATGAATTGAGTCTGGGTAGTTCGAGAAGAAAATGTCACACGGAGAATTTCGTTTTGTTTATAAAAGTTACTGCGAATCAAAAACGTTAGATTTTAATTTTTGATTAGCAACGGACAAAATATGTATCGCAAATTGCGCTGCGATACTGGTTGTCGGCAGCCCTGAACATAGCTATAAGTTCAGGAACTGTGAAGTAAACAAGCAACGTACAGATGTTGTAAAACTCGCAGTCGTTGCTTCAGGAACATGATATAAGCAGGGAATCGAAACCCACGAGGTTGGATCGGCAACCCTACTCATTGTCACATATAAGCGGGGAATCGAAACCACGCCACTTGACCTTATGATCTAATGTTCATACATTAAACATTCGGCCACCCCAGTAAATCAATTACTCTTATATTTGTATGCGTGTGTTTGTTTTTGTACTTTTGAGTAGCCTCATGGCTCTGTGAGGAAGACGCTGTCTCAGTAAGCAAGTACAGTCCCGATGTTGGTCAAGAAAGTGCAGTATAATGTTCCTGCATATTTTTCTCCTTGTTAGTGATGCAAGACGAAGAGTCGGGCGAGAACAGTATCTAGTCATGCGGGTGGGACAAAAAAACAAAGCCCTGTCTTCATTAGCCCAGTAGGACGTTAAACTCCATGTTTGCATTTCATTTATTTGTGTGTTTGACCATTTCAGTTTAAAAATACATGTTGAAGACCGAGAGACAAGCGCTGCTATAAATTTGAAAGTTTTCCAATCGGATACTGTTGGAGAATTAAAAATGAAGGTAATAATCTTTGATGATCGAAATATTTATTTAATAATAATAATAATAATAATTGTGACCTGTATACTCCAGTTCAATTACTAAATGCCATTGAAAGAATTTACATTTGTGGAGCACGAAATTCATCCATAAGCAATGAAAAAAAGGTTATGTACACAGTGAGTGGAAAGCCTAATGAAATGGAGTTTAACGTCCTACTGTTCTGCTCGGACTGGGCTAATGAAGACTGGCATATGCCATACAGTGTGATATGAGGGAAATTTATACCCATACTTTTTCTCGACTCTTTGATGAAAATGGGAGGGTATACGCCGATACACGGCCACTTTTGACGGCCACTTTTGAAAAGTGGCCGTGTATCAGTTGAAAAGTGGCCGCGTATCAGTCAGCTGAAAAGTGGCCGTGTATCAGTTGAAAAGGGACAAAAATAACAAAATCATGATTTACATATTTATTTGAACATCTACAACCCGTTTTGAATATGTTATGGTAAAAGAGTCATCATTTTCAACTGTCTCAGCACTTTTCGAATGTGCGTCACTCTCAGTCATATTCTTACATTTTGTCTCACATTTCTTTACATTTTGATATCTAGTCGCACTTTCACATTTTGTTGCACTTTCACATTTTATCGCGGCTTATGCTTATCCGCAGCACGTAATCCAAATATTTTAATCTCTTGGCATTTTCAACACTAAAAACTTTCACATTTTGTCGCGGTTTATGCTCATCCGCAGCACGTAATCCAAATATATTACTAGTATAAATTAATCCATTGGCAATTTCTACACTACACTCTTTCTCGGTGTATGAGTTGATACACCGTCTCTTTTTTGAGTGGAGATCTCTTCGGCTTTGCCTCGGAGCCCCATTCAAAAAAAAGACGGTGTATCAACCCATACACCTTGAAAACAAGGTATATAACTATTACTTACCCTGGACACCAGCACTACGGCTTACTCTTATATTGAATTCCATCTGCATTGTTTCTTTTATGTGCACGACAATGTCTTATCCGAATGGGGGATCACGTGGCTAAGTGGGTAAGACACTGGCTCGCTAGCCTGGAGGTCGGGTGTTCGATCCCTGCATTAGCCGAGAAAGTTCATCCAGATTTTCCGGCGTGGTTCCCTCCTGTCAGTGATGCAGGACGGAGGGCCTGACAAGGACAGCTGGTTAGTCCTTCAGATGAGACGAAAAAACCGAGGTCCCGTGTATATATTGGAATGCACGTAAAAGATCCCCTGGAAGTTGGAATTCGATATAAGAGTAGGCCATAGTGCCGCTGTCCAGACAAAATTTCCCTCATAGCAAACTGTATGGCATATGCCCGTATTCATTAGCCCAGTATAGGAGCAGAACAGTAGGACGTTAAACCCCATTTCATTTCATTTCTTTTCATTTCCGAATGACTATACATTGTCCCTTGCCGGGTCCTCCGTCCTGCATCCTGGAAAATCTAGATGAACTTTCTTAGTCAACACAGGGATTGAACAAAAAACTTCCAGGTTAGCGAGCCAATGTCTTACTCGTTGATCCACTGTGGCCCCAGTCTTACCAACTAATCCACTGTGGCCCCAGTTTTATTTATTATTAGCAGGGGTTTGGTGGGTGGCCGAATGTTTAGCGCGTGGGTTTTGTATCATAAGGTCTGTCATTGAGTCAACTGGCATGGTATTGATTCTCCAGTTGTATGTTAGAAGCAGTAGGGTCGTCTGTCCAACCCCATTGGTTTTCCCCAGGTCCTCCGGTTTCCTCCCACTGCTAAAGAGCCCTTCGTGCAAGCGAATTATATAAATAAAAAATTGAACCATATGTGAGTCCCGAAATGACCTAGTTTGTGTTGAGTGTATGTTAAACCCCATATCTCTCACTCTCTATTTTTTATTTGTATTAAAAAAAATTTTTCCTTCAGTTAATGGTCAAGTATAATTTTCCTATAGAAGTTCAGAGGTGGATAATAGGGAAAAAGTTACCAGAAGACAATGAAACATTGTATCAACATAGAATACGAGGACCGGGGTACACCGTATATGTTTATTTACTGAAGGCTAAATCTGTTAACTTGACTCTACCAGAATACGAACAACAACGTTCAGCAATGTGTAAATATTTACAAATTTATTATTTATCTGATCTACATATAATTATAGTTTCATTGTTTTTCCCATTCTTTTATGCACCATTATTGTCATCACCCCCTTCCAGAGGTCGCAGTTGATTATACGCAGATGTTCCAAAATTTTGCCTTTTAGCCCTCTACATCTGGTGACTTGGAGCCTCTCAAAATATTTAATTTAAGCGTCCTTATTTCATTGATACTGTATTTATTTTAATGACGACTGGAAGTTGATGGCATATCTATAGTTGACGACACAGTCATTTCAATCTTTCACTTCGACAGGAAGTATAGAGAAAACTATCGCTATGAAAGCCAATATTTGATTGGCTGAATGGAAACAATATATCATGTTCTAGCCAATCCAATGTCTTGTATGAAATGTGCTTTATTGCTTCCAGTGCGTCAAAATGGGGGGGGGGGGTCTCTCAGAATAGATACGTATAATAGAAGGCTTAATTTTACTGCCATGAACTTAGGATTATGAATGAAATAAGAGGAAATATAAAAACCTATGGAAACTACGTACAGTAGCAGTGTGTAAATGCCGCTTGAAGCACGTAATTTGATGACGTAGTGTACAAACTATGACATAGAATAATCTAATTATTCTCACGTTGGGGATATTTTATGCATGTAAATTACGCAGCGTCCATCAATATCTGTGTTTATTTTGAAAAAAAATGTGTGAAATAAGTGGATTTTTGCGTGACTGCGACCTCTGCCTCCATTCATCTGTCATCCACAATAGCAAATAACTTTGATTTGATTTAGACACCACAAAGGTTCCAGTTAATAATAACCATGACACTATCCATAAAACTCTCCCAGAATTCCTGATAAAGGATTTTTCTGCATGCAAATGATGTTCTCAAAGACCCGATCTCCTTCCCTATCAAGATTGAAACCACCATTAGAGAGATTTACATGGTTAAACATCATCAGTTTTTGTGACGTATGACGTGTAGCTGACAGATAGCAGCCCCCATAACCTTAAGTTCACAAAACCTAGCTAAACCTTGTTTAATTTCTATGACCCAATCCATAATTTTATCTCTAAATCACGAACTAAATCCACAAAGAAGACCTTCGTGTATATAAAATAAGAAGAGTCTGAGACAAAACATGTGCATGCTTAAGTAATCTCATCTTTCACAATCTATCCGTGATGTAGACCTATCAAGAGGGTGGACCAAGTTTGTGTCGCCACCTTCTAAGTGTAATTGTAAGTGTGAATTTAGCGAAACGTCATAATGTACAGTTAAACTTTCGCTTATCTAAATGTAACTGTAAAGCTGCAAAACATCTCTAATATAGAATAAGCATGAAGATATAATTTAACACCAGGTACAATTTTATGGATACACATTACTGAGTTTATAATTTGCTGGATAAAGAAGAGAGTATTAAACTCAGTAATTGTGTATCCATAAAATTGTACCTTGTGTTAATATGTTCAATTACTAAATGCCAATCAAAGAAGATATAATTTGTATGTTTTTATTAGTAGGGGGTAGTTTTAGACATGATGAAAACAGAAGTGTGTCATCGGAATTACCAACAGGAGGTAGGTATAATCATGGATAACAAACATTAAAATCAATTAGTTACGCCATTTTGTTATTCATTTGGTTTCCTCATACTGCTAAAGACCCCTACACGCAAGCAATTAATGAAATATAATTTGTGTTGAGTGGATGTTAAACCCCACCAGTAGGAGGTGAACAGTAGGACGTTAAACCCCATTTCATTTCATTTCATGTTAAACCCCATCTCTCTAAACAAAGAACAGCTTTGCAATGAAAACTCTACACACTCTTTTGAGAACTCCTTTCTAAAAGCGCCAGGGGGTTGGATGGCCGAATGGTTAGCATGTGCGTGCTGTATCATAAGGTCTGTCATTGAGTCAACTGGCATGGTTTCAAATCCCCGGTTGTACGTGACAAGGAGTAGGATCGCCTGTCCAACCTCGTGGGTTTTCTCCAGGTCCTCGGTTTCCCCCCACTGCTAAAGACCCCTACGTGCAAGCGAATCATAGAAATAAAATTAAACCATATGTTAGTCCCGAAATGACCTAGTGTATGGCGAGTGGACGTTAAACCCCATTTCTCTCTCTCTCTCTAAAAGCCCCAAGTTTTCCTGTTCAGGAAAACGGTCGCTGCATCACAATTGTATAGGTGTAGATACATATCATTTACCATCATACAGACGAGGCTAGATGTAGCTGCCGAAGTTTGCCAAGTGGGGCAGTATAATACTAGCATACTTGTTTCATTACAGATTATGTCTCCATGAAAAATGCAACTCGACGAAATCCTGGATGTCAGCAGCCTAACCAGTCGAATGCACACATATACGTAAATGATGCTGTTGTTGGTGGTGCCAAAGGCGGAGCTGTTGGTGGTGCCGTTGGTGGTGCTGTAGGTGGTGCTGTTGGTGGTGTTGCTCCGAGAGTGCCTGTAGGCGGTGCTGTAGGCGGTGCTATTGGGGGTGCTGTTGGTGGCGTAGCGCCGAGAGTGCTTGTAGGACCAACTATAAGCATACCAGATGATAATATATATGAATCCATGTATGCTGCACCATTTGAAAAAAAAATAAATAATGTGAGTTCATTATTTTACATTAGGTACATCGTCTTATTGTGTTTCTGTTTCACTCGGTACCTGATTTGACTTGTTACCCAATTTGAAAGTAGGTTAGATTTAAATGTGGTCTTGTATTGTTATCACCCCCGTCTGTCCGTCCTAGTCACCAGGGGCTAAAGTTATACACAGTGTTTTTCTCCTGTATGTTATTTTCACAATTGCTATCAGAGTTATTGCCCTTGATCAATATAAACGTTTTTGTCTTATAATTACTTCATGATTTACTGCCCTTGATCAGTCTTCCTTTACCTACAAAAGAATACAAATGTGGAAATCTATATCGACTGCTTAGATGACACAGCTGCTGGGTTCAAATGGCAACCTATCTTCAATTATTTTGATACAGCCTGCAATCTGATCAAAACACAGATCCCATTTCGTTTCGTTTTTATACGCCCACATTTTCATGTGGACGTATATTGTCGTCGCCCCTGTCCGGACGTCCGTCCACAATTGTTTGTGAACAGTCTACAGGTCACAATTTTTATCCGATTTCAATGAAACTTAAAATATAGGTTTATCACAATTTTTATCCGATTTCAATGAAACTTGAAATATAGGTTTATCACCCTAAGATCTCGGTTCCTTCGATATTGGCATCTATCGGACCATAACTTCATGGATTATGGCCCCTGATTGCACGAAAAATCACGTTTTTGGCTTGTGAACACTGTAGAGGTCACAATTTTTATCCGATTTTGTTGAAACTTGAAATGTAAGTTTATAACCCAAAGATCTCGGTTCCTTTCGATATTGGAGCATATCGGACCGTAACTTCCTGAATTATGGCCCCTGATTGTACGTAAAAACACGTTTTTTGGCTTGTGGACCCTAAAGAGGTCATAATTTTTATCCGATTTAAAAAAACGTATTATTATATCACCGTTAAACCCTAAGGACGGTCGACTTCGAATTTCGTGAAATCGGCCCAAAACTGACAGACAAAATGGCCGCCGTTCATTCTCAAATAGCGTAAAAATATGGTATATCAAGTTTGTGGACCCTATAGAGGTCAGAATTTTTATCCGATTTTGTTGAAACTTGAAATATAAGTTTATAACACAAAGATCTCGGTTCCTTTCGATATTCGCGCATATCACACTGTAACTTAATGAATTATGGCCCCTGATTGTACGCAAAAACGCGTTTTTTGGCTTGTGGACCTTATAGAGGTCATAATTTTTATCCGATTTAAAAAACCGTGTTAATATATCACCATTACACCCTAAGGACGGCTGAGTTCGAATTTCGTGAAAATCGGTCCAAAACTGACAGACAAAATGACCGCCCTTCTTTCTCAAATAGCGTAAAAATATGGTATATCAAGGTTGTGGACCCTATAGAGGTCACAATTTTTATCCGATTTTGTTGAAACTTGAATAGTTAGTTTATAAAACAAAGATCTCGGTTCCTTTCGATACTCGCGCACATCGGACCGTAACTTCATGAATTATGGCCCCTTTGTATGACAAATCGCGTTTTTAGCTTGTGGACCATATAGAGGTCATAATTTTTATCCGATTTAAAAAAACGTTTTATTATATCACCATTAAACCCTAATGACGGTTGAGTTCGAATTTCGTGAAAATCGGCCCAAAACTGACAGACAAAATGGCCGCCGTTCGTTCTCAAATAGCGTAAAAATATGGTATATCAAGGTTGTGGACCCTATAGAGGTCACAATTTTTATCCGATTTTGTTGAAACTTGACATGTAAGTTTATAACCCAAAGATCTCGGTTCCTTTCGATATTCGCACATATCGGACCGTAACTTCCTGAATTATAGCCCCTGATTGTACGAAAAATCACGTTTTTAGCTTGTGGACCCTTTAGAGGTCATAATTTTTATCCGATTTAAAAAAAACGTATTATTATATCACCGTTACACCCTAAGGACGACTGAGTTCGAATTTCGTGAAAATTGGCCCAAAACTGACTGACAAAATGGCGGGCCCTTGTTCTCAAATAGCGTAAAAATATGGTATATCAAGGTTGTGGACCCTATAGAGGTCACAATTTTTATCCGATTTTGTTGAAACTTGAAATGTAAGTTTATTACTCAAAGATCTTGGTTCCTTTTGATATTTGCGCATATCGAATTGTAATTTCCTGAATTATGGCCCTTGATTGTAGGGAAAATCACTTTCGTTTAGCTGGTTTTCTATCCATCTCTCGAAAATGTGGGCGTATACTGCCTGGCAGCCGCTGGTTTATAATTCAAAATTTCGTTTTACTTGTCTTCACTACACCAGGATCTGGAAGAGTTGTTATCATTGACGTGTTCTGGTTGACATTACTGGTTTAGCCAATGAAATGGTCTGTTACGGCGAGCTTTAGGCGTGTTTTGCACAGAACTGTCAGTGATCCACTAGAAACATCAATGCTGATTGGTTAATCAAATGTCTGACGTCATAGGGTCAAAGGTTGCTCGTATGACCCCTGACGCGACCTCCCAAAACAACTGGTCAGATCTTCATGTAGTGTAGGCCAACGAAAGTATAAAAATTGAAACGAAATGTAGATCTGTGTTGTAATCAGATTGGTACAGCCTGCTACTTTTATCGTAAAAGGGGGGGTTGGATGGCTGAATGGTTAGCGTGCGCGTGCTGTATCAAAGTCTGTCATTGAGTCGACTGGCGTGGTTTCGAATCCCCGGTTGTACGTGACAAGGAGTAGGGTCGCCTGTCCAACCTCGTGGGTTTTCTCCGGGTCCTCCGGTTTCCTCCCACTGCTAAAGACCCCTATGCACAAGCGAATTATTCAAATAAAATTAAACCATATGTTAGTCCCGAAATGACCTAGTTTGTGTCGAGTGGACCTTTAAACCCCATTTCTCTCTTGTAAAAGATACATTATGTAGGTCCTTCGGTTTCCTCTCACAGCTAAAGAAAAAAAATTGAACCATATTTCTCCTTCTCTCTTGACAGCCGGAAGGATGGGTGTGTCCAGCGTGTACGTATATCAACATACCAACTCGGCCAGGCTGTGAAATCTGTGCCCACAGTCGACCTGATGATTATAGAGTACCAGAGGGGTACGTTCCAGCACCGGAAGAGCAGGAACGAATTCTACAAGAAGAGGCCTTAGAACGACAGATTCGAGAGGTGAGTCCTAAGTTACAAGATATAGTCTTTTTGTATGTGGTCGTATGTTGTCGTCGCCCCCTGTCCATTCATTGGTCCGTCATCCACAATTTCTTGTGAACACTACACTGCAGACTACATTTATAATTCCATTGTTTTGAGATTTCTATATGTTGTTAACATTGCTGAGATGAAGCGGTCTATTTCATTTCAACAATTTTCGTTAATTACTGTTAGAGTTATGGCCCTTGTTTCACTTTTGTAGAACCTTGTAAACATGCAGCAACAAAAGTTATCATTCAGTCTGCATTAACTTTATATTCATTATCTAGATAGTAAAATGAAGAAGCCTATCAACAATTTTCGTTACTTTCAAGACGTTATATTTCGTATTCAATGTGACAACCCATGTCAGCTACTCAAACGATTAAGCTGATGTGGGTGTATGTTTCGTTGCATGGCAACCCATCTTTATATGCTTGAATTCGACAAGGAGTATGCAGAAACACTGCTGTCAGTTTAAAATATACCTCTTAACAAACTGCATGGTAGAATACCTGTCTCCATTAGCCCATGTATCGGTTGGATGGCTGAATGGTTAGCGTGCGCGCGCTGTATCATAAAGTCTGTCCACTCGACACAAACTAGGTCATTTCGGGACTAACATATGGTTTAATTTTATTTCAATAATTCGCTTCCGCGTAGGGGTCTTTAGCAGTGGGAGGAAACCGTAGGTCCCGGAGAAAACCCACGAGGTTGGACAGGCGACCCTACTCCTTGTCACGTACAACCGGGGATTCGAAACCACGCCAGTCGACTCAATGACAGACTTTATGATACAGCGCGCGCACGCTAACCATTCAGCCATCCAATCCCCCAGTTTTAGAGGTACCTGATGCACTAATGAAATAGTACCTGACATTTTCAACTTAGTGCCGGACATGTATTAATAATATCAATAAAAGGGACAAATCAGTGCCGGACAAAATGACAGGCACCAGAGGTTTTGTGCCTGACAAAGCCTGAATCTGTGCCTGATATTGTCTGTGACAGGTGCCTTATTTCCAGGCTTGAATAGAAATGAAATGAAATGAAATGAAATGAAATGGGGATTAACGTCCTACTGTTCTGCTCCTGACCTGGACTAATGAAGACGGGCATACGCCATACAGTGTGCTATGAGGGAAATTTTGCCCGGGCAGCGGCGCTACGGCCTACTCTTATATCTAATTCCAACGGATCTTTTACGTGCACGCCAATATGTACACGGGACCTCGGTTTTTCGTCCCATCCGAACTACTAGACAGCTGTCCTTGTCAGGCCCTCCGTCCTGCATCACTGACAAGGGGAAACCACGCCAGAAAATCTGGATGAACTTTCTCGACCATTGCAGGGATCGAATAACCAACCTCCAGGCTAGCGAGCCAGCGTCTTACCCACTTAGCCACGTGATCCCCGTGCAAAGGCTTGAATAGAAATAAGGAGATGTCATAATAAAGAATGTAATTATTTTCATTTATAAAGCCAAGTTATTTACAGCATATATACACACTGACATATTAGACCATTATGATATCAAATAAAATATTATAGTTACTCTTCATGATCAAGATTCGGGCGCTGTAGCGTGATGTATCGCCCTAAAAAAAATAAAACTGTACATTCAGTGTCAATCCATCCCTCTTGTCTTTACAGATAAGAGTGAATTTTCTATATATTGTCAATAGAGACTAACATATGAGATTAACATATGGTAATCATGTGGTGATCACGTGTTAGCTACTGAAATGGTTTTTCTACAGCTATTTCGTTATTTAAGTAGCCAAAACGGAATATTTAATGAATAATTAATTATCATAAGCCTTACTAATATTTCATATTTCAGTCCAATATATATTTTATTGTGTGCGCCATGCTGACAAAGTGGTATAGAGACGTAAATTCACAACACCCTACCATGAAAAAAATAAATATAAATTTACTTTGAAAAGTTTTCGTGCATTATCAAAAATGACCAGCAGTGTAATATTTGAGGTGGAAGCCCTGATATGGACCGATTTTATTTCAATAATTGGGTTGCACATAAGGGTAAAAACCCATGAAGTTAGGCAGGCAAGCCTATGTAGTGGTAGTCTCTATCATGTACAAAAAATATTCTACGAAAATTAATCTGGATGCATTGTCAACATTTGAGAATAATAGGTCATTGGCTAGATTATGCGGTCTTTTACATTATCATAAACACCGTCTAAGGGAGATAACTCGTTCTAAAACAAGTTGATGACGCCCATGAAATGAATTTAAGAATGCCATTCCAGAAAATCCATTTGATTGCATTGCCAGTTCAATATCCAACACAGGGGGGTTGGATGGCTGAATGGTTAGCGTGCGCGCGCTGTATCATAAAGTCTGTCATTGAGTCGACTGGCGTGGTTTCGAATCCCCGGTTGTACATGGCAAGGAGTAGGGTCGCCTGTCCAACCTCGTGGGTTTTCTTTGGGTCCTCCGGTTTGCTCCCACTGCTAAAGACCCCTACGCGCAAGTGAATTATGTAAATAAAATCAAACCATATGTTAGTCCCGAAATGACCTAGTTTGTGTCGAGTGGACGTTAAACCCCATTTCTCTCTCTCTCTCTCTCTCAATATCCAACACTCTGAATTTTTTTTATTGTAAATACCTCTCTTCATTGGCCATGTTTTTTCAATTAATCCTAATTCATGTTTGTTTATAATAATGCAAGAATTAAGGGATTTATTGCATGAAGAACCAAACTCCCAGGTTTCGCATCGGCAATAGAACTTTTCGTCAAATATTGACAACGGTCCCAGACCCTCCATATGATGAAGACTAGCGGTTCTGGGTGACTAATGTTGTGAATTGGGGTTTAACGTCCATTCGACAAAAACTAGATCATTTTGGGACTAACACATGATTCAGTTTTATTTCAATTATTCGCTTGCACGTAGAGGACTTTAGCAATTGGAGGAAACCAGAGGACCCGGAGAAAACCCTAGGCGACCCTACTCCTTGTCACGTACAACCGGGGAATCGAAACCACGCCAGTTGACTCAATCAGGGTTCCCGCGGTCCTTAAAAATCCTTGAATATCCTTAAATTTAAAATTTCATTTTCAAGGTCTTGAATATCCTTGAATTTCGCGGAAATAGGAAAATATCCTTGAATTTCAGTTGAGATCCTTAATTTTGTTTCAAATGTCTTCAATTCCTTTTAAATATGATATTATAACGATAGTTGGTAATGTTTTGGTTATTTTTAAGATGAAAAATTGTAACTTTAGGCTAAAAAATGTCCTTGAAAATCCTTGAATTTGACGTAAATTTATCCTTGAATATCCTTGAAAAAATGCTTGACGAAGCCGCGGGAACCCTATCAATGACAGACCTTATTTGAGCGTGGATGCGCTAACCATTCAGCAAGCAATAGGACTGTAAGCGAAAGGACCCTTTTTTTTTTTTCCAGCCAGTAGATGAACCATATTGATCTTCAAATTTCGTATGAAGCGTGGTGAGGATGACCCCAGTTTATTATCAGCGGACCCTATCTTTCTGTTCCATAAATATTATGTGTCCAGAAAAGCTTGTGACCACGCTAGAGATCAGATTTCTTGTAGACACGAAGAACCCTTATCAAATTTGATCAACATCTAAGGTTTTCTTCCTTGATGAACCATATTTTAGTCCCAAAATTACCTAGTTTGGTATGGTGGATATTAAAACCCCATTTCTCTGTCTCTCTCTCTATTTTGAGGATTTACCAGTTGTTTTCTTCACTCAAAAGCCAATTGAAAATTAACAAATTGAACATATAATTTTTTTTTTCATGTCTTTTGTTCTTGAGGTCTCGTCAATTCTGCCCTGCCTTTGTATTTTCAGGAAAATGAACGGCTCGGAGGAAGAATTGACGAACCCTTGAGACCAAAACTATCGGAACAAGAACTTGACTTAATACTAAAATTTAACGATGCCATTCAGACCCATGTGAGACCAGATACGGATGAACTGAATCAGTCGTTCGAGGAGGACTTTTCTTTCATTCCTGTGGAGTATACAAACAAAACTAACCGTGATCGGACCAGCTAAGATTGGAATATCTACGCAGAAAGGCCAGCGGTGATTTTTTGTTGCCACGGCTGGAAATGATAATTTTTGTTGCATTATTCAACTAGTATCTGACATTTTGAACTTTGTGGTGGACATGTACTAATATTTGTGACTGTTGTTTGTTTGTTTGTCTGTTCAGGGTTGATAAATACACTAGGGCTGTTCCGAGGTTGGTGTATAGGGATAGCTCGGACCGGGGAGTAAGATAGGCCTGGTGGTGATGGTCTATCACTTCTGGTTTTAAAGCTATGCTACTTTTGGTTAATGGCTATACGTGTGCTACGCTGGATCAACCGCTAGTTAGGAATAAAATTACAAGGATAAATTTTAACCGGACACATTGTGCCTGACAAATCCTGGATTCGTGCCTGACAATGTCTGTGACAGGTGCCTTATTTAGAGGCTCGATTGTAGTGTCTTGGATGTGTACTATAATAATACATGTATTGTAATTTCTATAAAATCATGTATTAAAAAAACCCAAACAAACCCGAACAGTTATCTCCCTTTGACCTATGGTATTTTAAACTGGACAGAGAAACACGTTTATTTGATTTCAAATGTGTAATGTGCTATAAAATCATATCCAATAAAAAAAAACAACAGTTGAATGGACCCAATAGTTGTCAAGCAAGTTATCTCCCTTTGAGGTATGGTAGTTGAAGCTGGAGAAACAGAAACACGTTTATTTGATTTCAAATGTGTAATATGCTGTAAAATCATATCCAATAAAGAATGGACCGAATAGCTGTTAAACAAGTTATCTTCCCTTTGACCTATAGTAGTTTAATCTGGACATCCAGACCTGTTTATTTGATTTCAAGAGCTTCATGTGCAACTCCATGTTCGTTACCACGGGGATGTACCACATGATTTAAATGAATATTGTAAAAGTTAA